CCCAAGGTTGGGACGGTGCTGGAGTCGGTCTTGGAGCTTGAAAACGTTGAAATCAAGGTGCTGGAGACGATTGCAGGTAAAAACAAAGACTGTTCATCTGATCTCTGCTGACACATGTAAAGAAACACACACGTTCTACTATTTGCAGTATGTTGGCATCTTTTTTTTTAAATATTTGTAGCGTTAGCCATGGAGCCTCCAGCCCACTTCCCTCTGCTTTGTAAGAAGGCCTTGAGGGTCGCTCTCTCTCTGCACAAGAAACAACCACAGGCTGACCTGGCTAGCTGCAGGCAAACCCACCACCACTCTACATGAAGATACCTTTAAATATTCCCCACAATGTGCTCATTGGGATGAAAGGGTTTCTAACGGTGTGCCTGATTTTGTGTCTCTTGTCTTAGCAAGTGCGTCCACAGCCTGATCAAGCTGTCCCTCCCGAGCGGCGTGTCAGAGGTGGGGGCCCATGTGCTCGAGGAGGTGTGGGACTACTACGAGGAGGCGCTGTCCGTCATTGCAGCCGCAGTGAGTCAGCGCCAATCACACATGGCCATCCCTCGGCACCCACCTCCTGTTCGCTCCAACAGGACTGCTCCCTGCTATATAATTAACCCCCTCTCTTCCACTCCATGCCTGCCTGCTGTTATAGAAGCCTCTCTCTCTCTTTTTTTTTTTTTTTTATCAATGGGCTTTCAGCCGCACTTCAATTAGCAGATGCTTCCATTCACCAAACCCCTTCCTGCCAATTTGAATGCTAATGTGCTGTACAAGTCATCGTACTGCCGGTGAGCTTGCAGCTCTGAAAGAGGCATCAAATTATTGAGACACTGTGCTGCTTCAGAGGCAGCGCATATTTCCCCTTTCATTTTGAGTTATTACTCAAAAAGCCGTGGAGTTCTTTGGATCAAAGTGAAAGCCCAAGATTAAAGTGGTGTGAAGAAAACGAATGAAACTTTAGAAATGATAGACCTTCCAGTTTGTTTACGGTCTGTTTAAAGACTTCAAAGCATTGGTAAAGGTTAACATACAGTAGAACAGGATTGGATGAGAGTTACTCACAGGTTTCACCCAATATATTAAAAAAAATTAAAAAAACTGATTTCCTTCCATACACTTTGTGCAAGCCAGTCACCCAGGTGGCCTCCGTTTAACGGCCTTCTGAACATCTTCCTGCTCTTCTCTGCAGCCGGACGACTTCCCGGAGATGGAGACCCTGTGGCTGCTGACACGGGCGTGGAACACGGGGATACTGCTGTACAGCCTGGCTCAGTACCCCGAGGCAGAGAAGTGGTGCGGCCTCGCCATGAGCTTCATCCGCCACCTTGGATCACTGCAGGAGAGCTACGAGACACAGGTACAGGACTGGTGGAGAGGGGGGGAGGGGAGCAGACTGGGGCGGTTGTAGCAGTGGAGCACGAGAGGGAAAGAAAACCTGACAAAGGCTTTGGCCCCACAAACACACGTCTTGTGCTAAATCAAGTATATAACCATAACTGTAGGCCCTTCAGAGCCAATACCTTTGTAAGCTGTACCGTTTCTTTCCCCTTGTGTGACCACAGATGTCGGGTCTCTACAGTGAAATCCTGGACCGGTTGGACAAAGCCAAGAGGAACCTCATCATGGAGGAATAACTGAACCGGGACAAGTCAGCGGTCTCAGCCCGGTGTTAACTGCCTGTTCCGACTTTAACGGATTCACTTCCAACAGTTTGTTGCAGTTAAATGTTATTGATGTTCAGACAGTCCAGTTTGATAAAGTGTTGCTTTGAATCTGTGTAATTGTGGGATACAAGTGGTAAAGAAACATTATATTCTCTCCAGGTTTGGTCAATAAAGGCTAAAATGCCAAAGAAAAATCTGTATAATCCAATTATTTTCAAAGCCACCGAGTTGTTTTAAGCGCAATGACAAGCAGATCAAAATCATAACTGAGTCACATATTTTATTTCCAAACAAATAAACTCTTGTCAAGTCCCAAAATAAAACCCAAACAAAAGTTGCAGGACTGTGTTCCCTCATGACTAGGACAAGGAAGACCATGAGGCCGAGTGTCCCGATAGGCTGTACCACCTGCAGTGACAGGAAGGAAACTACTGTACAATCAAAGGGTTCATGTTTGCAAGCACTTACTGCACAGATGTGCTAGAACATAAACATCACCCAAAAGTACAAACAAGAACCCCGACCCCCCCCCCCCACCCACCCACCCAAAAAATAAAAGCATATACGTCATTTCTCTCAGAACAAAGACCCTCATCAATTATACACACACACAGAGGCATTCAGGTTCCATCTGGTTATATACCACGACCTCAATGGAAAGAGTAAAATGAAATCAAGTTCTTTGGGCTTTGATATGGCTGACTGAGGTATGAGTACCACACACATTGTTAACAGTCAGCTGGATTTCAACTAAACACCAGAGAGGACCAATTCTAAACTTCTAATGATGTATTGATCAATGCTCCTGGTTTGTGATAGTGTAGGTTTCTGCCTGCATCTCTTTAATTATTTATTATTTTACAATATATATATATATATATATATATATATTTTTTTGTTTGTTAAATCTATACACCCAGACACGTTCCACAAGAAATCACATGTAGACAGGCCCTACTTGAAGGGAATTGAATTCCCAAACTGACTAGTTAGTTTTCCAATAGGCATTTTGAAGAGAAATACCAACGATACAGCACATTTGTATGGAAATTATATCTCAAGAGTAGCTCAAACTTTACTTACCTGACATTTGTGGTCTATAAAACATGTTTGTTTCAGTTTTGATTCACACATGCATGAAGCACAGGTGAGGGCGATCTGCTGGGGGCTTATTTACATTGTACAGCTACCACACCCTTTGAAACAGTCTGCAAGCAGTTTATTAATGGCTCTGTTCCCTTCGGTTATTCCCTGAACTCTTGGTTTTTGACACAGGTAATGACAGCTGGTTTAGCAGTGGTGCCTGGCAGGTGGGCACACCTGTTCAGAAAATGCCTGCAGGTACAGGTGCTCTGTGGGGTGGGCGAGAGCAGGAAGGGGGGAGGGGGACCCAGAGGTCTAGGTTACCACTTCCTGTTGGGTCTGGCTCTCTCAGAGAAAAAAAATAATAAAAATCCTTTGTACTCATCAAAAAGCTGAGGAGGAAAAGCAAGAACGTTCACAGGACCGGGGGAGGGGGGGCACAGTATTCCTTCTTCAGACGTGCGCTCTCACATGCACACATTAACATACAGTGCCCAGATCCGCATGGGAGGGTCGATGCCACACCGGCCATACCTCACGGAGAAGAGGGGACACATAATACAGCCTGGTTACACCGTTAAGCTGAAAAACGCCTTTAAACTACCAGTACTTGTTGGTTTACATTTCACAAGCTCCGTCATCGCCCCACCCACACACACAGACACACACATGGCCGTTCAGTCGCAAGGGAAATGGTATCTGTACGTTAAAATATTCCTGAGCCGGTCTAGCTCACACAGTGGTTCATCAACAACAGATTCATTAAGAATTCATACGTGTATAGATGCACAGAGCATGTAGGTTTTTAATCAAACCCAACTTTTAGTGATATTTTTGGTAGGGGGACAGGGTGGGGGGGGGAGGGGACAATCCAAAACAGGTTAAATTTACTCTTTAATTGTTAGGACATCCAATACAATTATTGTCTTGTTCTACCCGTTTTAAGGCCACCGTCATGGCGGCAGATAGGACAGTACCATGTGACCATTCAATCAGAAGAGAGAATCCTCAGAAGGCAGAGAGTGTAAGAGGGCGGCCTGCTGCTCAACAGGAGTTAGGAGGCTCTGGCTGTCCAAATTCTAATCCAATGGCCAATTGTTAATTATAAAATAGGAAGGAAGGTTGAAATGCAGGGGGGGGGGGGGGGGAGACTGTATTTGATCTATTGCAGAGGTGAGACTTTTTAACTATTGCACTCAAGTCAGGCCTCCTGGCAGTTGGAGGACACACAAAAAAAAATAAATAAAAATAAGTAAGATGAGAGCATTCCCTCTTTTTCGGTGTGAATTGTGTGCAGCCTCCCTCACAGACAACAGGTAGTCACAAAACAGAATTTGTATTTGATATAAGGCAGTTTGGTGTTTTGCAGAGAGCCCAGTTACACTTCTCTACCTCCATCCTTTACACAGAGCAGCTAAAAACCACAAGCAAATAATCCCACAAAGAAAGAAGAAGAAAAGAAATCCAACAGCCCTCCAAATTGACAATTCTAGTGAAGTGTAAAATGTGTAGTTTTTAATATGTAGTAAAATCTCAGTGGGATTTTATCATTTATCTTGTGATTTCATAATATAAATGTAGAGATTCACAACGCGTTTCTTCCTCTTGATCTGCCTCCCGAGATGTCTTTATCAGCTGGAGCACAGACGACTGGTTGGAGATAAATAGATCACCAGTTTGTAGGCTCCACTAATTTCCTCAGTCTTTATAAACAAGAGAGACGACTCCGTGAACAACACCATCAGCAGGGCTCCATTTCATCCAGTCTTTTTTAGAAAAAGAAAAAACAAACCTTAAGTGGTCTTCACTTCTCATCTTGCACGTCTTTTCAAATGTGATTTGATGAACATTTACAAAGTGTTCCAACTTGGTACGATTGGTCTCTGTTTTCCCTGCAACGTCGTCTTGAATCCCAACTCCTCTTTCCTCATTTCTGAAACACTCTGATCTTCAGTCAGTCCCAGTTCACAAAAAGGATTTATTTCCTTTTTCCCTTTTTGTTTTCATTTGACAAACTCCTTCAGAATGGCGTTTCCAGTCTTGAATGGATTTGTTGAGAAACTCATGCAGGGGGTGTGCACAGTCACAGTAATGGTGATAAGACTTCTTTTTCATTTAGAGAGTAACATAATGATGACACTAAAACTTGATATGAAACATATCTGCAAAAAGGAAGTGAGGAGGAGGAGGGGGGGGGCTATTTGGGCTGGGGGGGGGGGGGGGGACCGGGGGGAGCGGGGGGGGACGCGGGCGGGGGGGGGGGGGGGGGGGGGGGGGGGCAGGGAGCTCAGAGCTTCTCTGAGGACGGGATCCAGATGTAGGGACCGGACTGCTCCTCAATGATTAGCTTGATTTTGTTGTAGATCTCCTCTAGTGAGTCGCCCTGTACGATAGCTGGAGACACAAACACAAACAGGTCGGTCACATCGGAAACACCAGGTCCACTTATCAACAAGTCAGGAGATCATTCATCCGCAACAATTCTGATTATCAATTCAGCAAAAGCAAAAAAAATAAATAAAAAATATTTGCAATGCAAATGTTGCGATTTGTCAATTGGTGTTTTTTCTTTACAAATAGAGCTGCATCAAATGTATTTCTCTACATTCAAAGCTTCAAAGTTCTCAATATGTATGAAGTGATTCATCAGATTTAGTTTTTATTAAATCAACTTTCTTTAATGAATATTACTCGTCACTCCCTTTACGAGCGGCAGGCAGGATAGAGAGCAAACAGTTATTGATTAAAGAATATTTCGTTACATTAACACTTGAATTTTGGATGATTATATCCGTCTCTTATCAAATAACTTTTGGACTTTACAACGCTCTGCTTGGATCACACGCGTAAACCACTAGAATCTAATTCTACAAAAAGTGAAATACTATTCACTACCGGTGCCGTCATCTTCACTTCAATGTTTCCTCTTGTGAGCAAGTAAATAATTGATTTACAAATTAAAAAACAAATCCATTAGAGTTGAAAAGATTAGTCTATTAATTAGGGTATTTGATAAATTAGCCATTTGTTTTAAATAATGTTTAAATATCTAGTTTCGGCTTCTCTGTTGGGAGGTTTTACTGCACGTCTTTGTGATCAGCAGTAAACTGAATATCTTTGTGTTGTTCATCTTTTAAGGGCGGCGAGACCAACCTGTGAAAAACTCTCCAAAGTCTTGCTCCAGCTTGACTGCCTTGTCAAAGACTTTATTGGCCTGCTCGTACGTCTGCCTCTTATTCATTTCCCTGAAAAAAGACGAGCAGCTGCGATTAGTACCGCAGACACACCGACATTCTTAACTGCAGTACGTGAAGAAGAGCTCAAACTTACATTAGGGCTTCAATGGATTTTGGTTTAATAAAGATGGCGATCGGATAAAGTTGTGCTTGCTGCAGTCGTTTTATGGCGTTCCCCGACACGTCCAGAATGCAGTGCTTTCCCTGCTGGAAGGTTGAGACAACAGACACTTTTAGATTTTTGTACACAAGTAAGCCACGTATTCATGACGGATTGATTTTGGTTCTTGTAATGCTTCAAACTAATAATTAACACATGTCTGCTTTCAGGTTTAGCAGGAAACCCACCATGCCTCCGGTTCCACCTTAAACACACCGAACCCAACCTGGTGACCGACTCGTACAGAGAAACACAAGCCTACCCGCTCAGCCACAGTTCTGACAGACAAGATGCTCGTCCCGTAGAGGTTCTCATTGAACTGGCCGGCCTCAATGAACTTATTATCCTGAATGTCTTTCTCCATTTGCTCTCGCGAGCCCACAAAGTGGTAGTCTTGGCCGTCCATCTCATTCTCTCGCCTCGGACGAGTCGTGTCTGCAGGAGGGAGAGAAACAAATATATTCTCATCACTGCCGTTATGTGTAGTCGGACCGTCTGGATCTGTTGGTCGCTGTGAACTCACGGGGTACACAGGAGCCGAACTTGTGTGGGAACTCGGAGATGAGGTCATCGTTTACTCTGTCCTTCATTGGGCCCAGTATGATCACAGGCCGTGTGTAGTGGACTGCATTGGAGATGAAGGTGGGGGTGAGGATGCATAAAGAAACTTACAACGTATAGTTTGACTTTTTTCTTCAATTGTGTCGAAGTGATTCACTCACTTTCCTGTCGAATGACTGGCTCGTAGGAAAGAATAGTGTCCTCCTGTCCCTCTGCAACAACACAAACACCATTGTCACAAAGTTTACATCTCATTTAAAGAAATACAAAAAGAGGCGTCATGGCTGTCAAAACACCAAGAGGAATATTCATTTACAGTCATTTCACAGGTAAATCGAAGAACATTCGCCATGTTAGTCATTCGTCTATGTGGGCAGTGTAAAACAAACCAGGAGGAATTAAGGTGACTCACTCGAACTGCTTTCACTGTCACTTGTGTTGGATGTCAGGCATTCTGCAAAAGCACAAGAGCGAGTTACAGATCATTTAAAACAAGCCTTAGAAAGAAGACCCCTGTTTCTCAACATCTAGGCCATTTAAAAAAAAAAAAAAAAAAAAAAAAAACGAGGATAAAGAAAGGAGAAGTATTGTAGCCATGCTCTCGCAATATTGGGGAAGTGGTTTTAGGGGCGAGCAATAGGAAATTAAGTGTTTCCTGTGACAATATCCCAAATGACCCAAAATCCCTGGCCAATGTTTCCTATTGCTAGATCTGTGCCTGTGGCAGCAGATCTCATATCAGGGAAATGGCAAAGAAAACATACAAAGGCGTTGCGCCGTCCACAGGAGGGAGGCAGGAGCCAGCTGACTCGGGGGAAATGGAGGGAATAAGTGTTTCCAACCAACACTCCGCTCTGGTGACAGATATATTCCAGCTCCAAGTGAACTTATCTGACAAAACCCTGATAAACATTTGTCGTAAAAGACCCCGTGAGACATTCAGAATAAGTGTAAACGCTCACTCAGCCTCCCCTGGGAATGCATATTTTATATGTACTGTGAATCTGAGTAGACATGCGTGTGTGTCACTCTAAACTATATATGTGTGTGGTTTAGCATTCCCAGCTGGGTCTGCAGTGACAAAGCATTTTCTCTCTGAGCTCAGGGGACAGTTGCTTGACACAGTACAACCACACACTTACTCAAACTCTTTGATCCATAAAAGTCATCGCTTAACCCTGGGAAGTCCTAGGTGTCCCGACAGGTGAGAGCAGAAACCAAGAGAAGAGAGCAGACAGGAAGAAGAAGAGGTTAGTGAGAGCTGGGGCGGAGAGGGAGAGGAGTGCTGTGTGGTGCCCACTGACACATGGCGTTGTGCTCATTAAGCCTGAGCCCCACTTTGTTCATAGTAAGCCACGCTCTTTCAATTACACAAGCCCAATCCCATTAAAACGGGATTTTGACCTGTTAAAGTGTTAAAGCTTCAGTCCAGTTAATGAGATTCTTGTTGTGGGTCAGTGACTGACTGGAGAATTGATCAGGACTCATACAAGGAGTAGCATCGCATGGTGTTAGAAGGCCGGTGTGTTAATGTAGCCAAGCCACCACCCCCCCCCCCCCCCCCCCCCCCCCCCACATCTGCAGCCTGATGCCGGCTCTGCATGTGGGGTGTCTCTCTGGGACGGTGAGAAAGGGATGAGAGTTGGTGCCGTCACACACAAACCATCCCTGGAGGTGAGCGGAGAGATGAAAGTTGAGACAGAACTGAAGCATGAAGGGGATGGGACGAAAAAAACAACCCCGCCCCCCCCCTCGATCACACAGCTGGTACTCACGTTCAGAATCCCCCAACTCCTGCACAATATTCTCCTTGCTCTTGTAAAACGGGAACTTGCGTGAGAGGTTGAAGCTTTTTTTGCGCTTTACTTTGACTGGCTGCTTGTCGATGTGTGGGTGAGAAGGGGGGGGTGGGGAGGGGCAACGAGAGGGTGAAAACAAAAACAGAATGGGTTTCAATGAGGGTACTCGACACCCATGCAAAAGAAACAAATGAGATGTAAACACACAATCCACATCAAAATAATGAAAATGAGAAGCAGGTAATGTGTGAAAATGAATGGCACATCAATGTGAAGGAAACAGGCTTCTGTTTACCAACTTAAACATGTCCCGTTTTCATTAAACTCAATCTGCTTGCATTACAGATGATACAGACAACATTCAAACTGATTTATACTTCTGCAAATTACTTCCGACGGATCAGCCTCTGACAAAAACGTGCAGACATTTTCTAAGTGCACATTTCTTAATATCCCCGAGTGCATGAGCTGCGGAGGTTACGGAGCTTCTGTGTAATCTATACAGTAATACGAGCGTTTTTTTTGTGCCCGCTTCAGTGAGCAGGTGCTGGTCTCTTTCCCACACTCGAGGGGGAAGTAGGCCATCTCCCTGGGAGCCCAGCAGCAGCTCTGAAGACAGCCTCTCTGGCAGCAGGGCAGGCAGCAGCTGGCCCTCTACACTTACCCTGTTGGACTCAATCATGCCGGTCCTGGCGTGGAACTTGACTGTTTTTAACCTGGCTCTCTCTTTCTTCTCCACTCTGGGGGCAGGGGAAAAAAAGGGGGGAATAGGATTAGAATGGGCCTGAATGGTAGCATTAGCTCGGTCTGGCATTAGCAGGGCGAGTGTACCTTTTCTTGCTCGGAATGACCCCGATCTGCTCGCTCTCTCCGTGTGGCGTGACCAGTCTCGCCTGCCACCACTCGTCATCAGAAGCATTGATGACGTGGAGGATGTCCCCATAAGAGAAGCTCAGGCCTTGGCTGGGCAGGCAGCTGTCCCTCGTTCGATCATAGTCAAACAGAGCTCTGGAAAAACAAAAGGCTGGGGTTACAACTTCCTTCCTTTTATCTGGAATTTGCGTGAGGAGATTCCAGATTGACCGAGATCAATCTGCTCCACGCTTGGCACAAAATGGCAGCTTTGAGTTTCCTGCATCACTTTATCAGTTGTGACTTTAATTATTTCACATTGCTTGCATTTGGGCTGCGACTTGACTCATCAACAATAGGTTGACAATAAGATGACAATATAAAAACCACAATAAGATGACAATATAAAAACCAGTCATATTGTGTGTGTTACAATAAAACCCCCCATGGTGGAGAGCAAGGTCCCTCACCGACAACACGTACACTAAAGCACGCCATTCATCAATACCCACTGCTGTAGTCAAATACTTTCCACCACAGACATTCAGTGTTTGTCTGCCTGAGTGCGTCACTATCTTGTCAGACAGGTAAACCCAGTCATTTCTAAAAGTCATTTTAGTTTACTTAACCCACAAGCTTATAGTACATCTACAGGGTATAAACAATGGTCCAGTATCAAGGTGAAAGCATGTTTAACAACTGACACATTCACGATGCAATCCAGTGGAAGCCTATCTGCTGCTGTGCTTCACAGGGAAACTAATGCTAGACCTGTAACCTAGACCAGAACTACTTTAGTGGGAAGATAAACTGTCCCAGAAATAATTACCATAAACAATATTATTGTCATTTTAAGTGCATTTTATGCCACTGATACGATGATAATATAAAAGCATGATAATGCAAGTACACCCTTTCAAAGAGCAATGAACGTTTAGCTCTCAAGTATATCCAGAGATTGGAATTTGAATGTGAAAATTATTTAAATATTGTAAGTAAATAAAAAAAAAAAGGTCAATAAAATAAAACCACACAACCAAAATAATTATCAAAATGCACAATCTGGCTCAGTTAACAAAAATCCTGAATGTCTGCGCATAATGTCAGTGAAAACCCTGCTGTTTATGCTAGCATCATGTTGGCTAAAACGGTGGGGGCACTTATGTAAATAAACAAGCATGTAAACAACGGGCAATATCAAGGTCAGCAAAAATGGCAGAGGCCACATCGATATATCGTACGCTAAGTTGATAACGTCATTATTGTGACAGGCCTAACAAGATTCCTAACCTTAACCCTTTTACAGCACGTGACACACTTACAGAGCGTTTCAGAGAGAATGGAAGCACATGTGACACTGTTTTCTTTTGTTTCTTTTTCTTTTTTGAGAACACCGTAGATGTTCAATGCCTCCACATTCCTGAAGCTGGGCTGAGAGGACATGGCGGCTCCTGCATCAGCCGGCTAGCTAGACAGCTTTTCCAACATATCTGTGGGCTTAGTCACCTGCACAGGAGCAGGCTAGGCTCTACATGCCTCCTAGGAGGCCGTCTATAAGAGAGGCATGAGTCAGATGGTTAACACTCCTCCCTCTATAGCGAGGGTCCAATGAGATAGCACCTACAGTATATACTTTTGATACATCCGAGTAAGGTCCATTGCTGTTTGAACTTAGCCTAAATCAATCTAGTAATGTAGCTATTAGGCTTAGGTTAAGTGAAGCGCATTAGTGCTTCAGCAGAAATCGGGTGAAGTACTTGGACTGTGGAGTTACATCACACACGGTCCTTTCACCTTGACCCTTGTAAGCCCTTTGGGACTCGCTGCTTTTATGTGAGCAGAGCGATGTCTCCTGTTTTAATTCCTAAACGAGCCTCCATCCAGATTGGCGACCGGCCCAAAGTGTCATAACACAGGTCACTTCGACAAGCCCCGCTGTCGATCTGCATTACGCAAAGTAGAGTAAATGTCATGTGTGGCATCAAAACAACAACGGGGGTTGCCCGTCCAACTTACGATGGGGATGAATTGTATCAACCCAAAGCCCTGAATTTTATGCTACCCTACAAAAAGCTCAGTGTGAAGAATCGTGTTTTTCGTCATCTATACGTCACGCTGCTGAACTCTTGACAGTGAGGCTGCTTTTTGACAACACATGCTTTCAGGCTTTGTTCTCCCCCACAGGCAGGTAGAAGTTTATTATGCAAGAGTAGCTATTTTGACTCCAGATCTTACAATATCACGACGTGAGTGCAAGCGTCGCCGCGCGTGTGTGTGTGTGCTGCAGCTTTACCTGACATAGAGGGAGCGTTTCTCACTGGTGCGCAGGGAGCCTGATCCTGAGCTCATGCTGCTGTTCATCATCTGCTCCCTCAGGTCGTGGATCTTGGACTCAAAGCGACTATACTCTGCATTGGAGGGAACAAACAAAACACACCGTGTCAATAATAAGTTGATACACCCAAGGTGAAGGTGGTACTGAACGTCGTCTCGTAAAAAGAGGCTAAAAGAGTGTTGGGCCCGGCTCTCTTATTTCACTGGAAAACTGTTGGCGCTGCAGTGAATGGAGGGAAAAGGTTCAGCGAATCCTTAGGCTGATTAATGACCCCCAGGAACAGATGGTTTATCACAGATCTGCCTTACACATCCAGTAATGTCTCATGTCAGGTCATTAATTACACAGATTAATTAAGTTCAACATTGGCTCTTTAGGGTGGTTAAAAAAAAAAAAAAAAAAAAAAAGGGAAGGCCTCCCAACAATCTCAAATGCATGACCATTTGTCATAGGTGTATAAATCCAGTTGCTGCTCTGGAGCACAGGGATGATATATGAATCCACCTGGACCTCCTCATTAAGAATGGTCTCATTAGCCTGCTGTGCCCAGACTGCTGGAACAAGGTAGGCTACCGCACCACACGGCTAGATAAACAGACCGGCAGATGCAGCTAGAAAAATAAGTAGACTAGGTCGCTCATGTGATCATACAAAGGAGGCGATGGGACAACATAAAAGCAGCCGTGTGAGCGACCAACATTGTCATATATCTGAATATTAAAACGTGATTTATACTGCCGATGAAAGGAAATGAATCGCAGTTAAAATGAAAGTGTATATGAAAAACTAGAATCACCTTAATGGCACCTAATGACGTACCCTATTATTCGAGTGACACAACATATCTATGTCTTGATCATAATTTGCCTATAAAAAGAACCAGTTCACATTTATTCTCCTTTACTGCCATGCCTTCAGGAGTGGACTCCTACCTTACAGCTTAATCATCCATAGCTGGCAACACTTCCTGTAATGTGAGCAACCAGAGATCAAGGTCCAGATTCGGTCGAACAAAGCCTACAAGTCGCCTTGAAAAACAAAAACGCCCATGCCTACAATGCTGGTTTAGCAGAAGACGGTCCAAACTCCCCGGAAAAAAAATTCTGAACAGGTGCAACAACAATCTCTAGGTCGCTGAACTCCGACCACCTGCCGAAACCTAAAAGGATTCAAAGCAAACACACATCCCGCCCCGGGCCCAGCGCCAGCTCTCCACCCTGGTCTCTGCTCAAAGGGTTAACATTACAACAGGGTGACGCTGCAAGGTGAGGTAACCAGACACCGCCTGACTGCCTGTAACCACCAGCAACGTACAAGCACTCCGAGCACAAGCGGAAAACAGCCATTCAGACAAGTCCACTTGGCTCTCAAGCAAGGGAGACATGAGAGAATGGCAGCGTGGAGAGGAGGGGTTTTAGGGACAATATAAAGAGCAGCTAAGTAGAGAGAGCCGTCTTAATGCCCGTCTTCACAATAACAGCGACCCGAAGGGCCGGCTGGGAGCTGAAATGCTGATGTAGCACTTATAAGCAGCGCAGGTGAAAGAGCTAAACGCTTTGCTTTTTCACATTCTTAACGTCCAAATGATTCATCTCACACGTTCAAGAGGAGCGGAAGGAGCCCTGAACTACCACCGGCCTCTGTTGGGAGTCAGGGTGGGAACCATAAGCTAAACCATAAATTGCTACCGCGCCTCGTTGTTTGTGACATCAGCATACATGCATTGCTGCAACACAATCGTCTATGTGCAATAGACCACACTGTCTGTGTAACTAGAGTAGGGAAACACACCAATCGGTCTCTGATGTATCTGCAGCACTTACTTCCTGTATAAAGAAGTGTTTCCAGTCATTTCAAATGACATGGAACAGTAAAGGAAGTTAACACCTGTTACACAGAAAAGGAAGGATACTCCTAGTACTCAAACAGAAATCACTGTGATGCTGGAGAACGAGTATCACAGCAGAGCCACAGGAAATCAAAACATTACACTGAAACCTAAGTTCTGCATTGACTGTTTGTCTCGTCTCAAATATCAAGCACACGGAGTAACAGTAATGAAAACAAATCTTTTCATACATGAGCCTGAACTGATACAAATCCAAGTCACAACTGTAACATCAGCATTTAGTCCTCAAATCGCTCACAGGTAGGGAGGCAAACTTAAGCAATTTCCCAAACCAAGTGCTGTTAAAAGTCACTAAAAATTACATAAACACCTGAAAACTATTGGAGTCATAAAATAAAAATAACCAACAAAAAAAAAAATAGTGCCATCAATCGAAATTGCTGCTCCCACTCTGCCTGCCGTTATTTAACAAATGTCTGAACAAAACTGTTAAGAGCAGAAACATAATCCTGCACAAATGGTATTGAATAGAACATGTATTGGATGAGCCATTCTTGTATCAACGATTAGGGCTGTAACCTACAGCAGACAAGGCTTATTTAAAGTAGAAATAAGCCAAATTATCTGATGACACTTACAGCAAGTGTTACAGATTGTTATACGAAGACAATAATATCTACCTGGTTAGGAATCGGCCATATTTGCAATTACATTCTTGACTAATCCGAGTCTTTATATGGATCAACCCAACATCACCTATTCATCAACATCACTACTCACAAGCAAACCGCTGAAATACAGGGGAACGGGAGTCCACAATTGTTAACGTTACAACTTTGTCCCTTAAAGCACTAAATACACAAGAGCTAGCCTGTATTTTTAGGAGTGACCCACAGGAAGAAAAGACGGCTAATAGAAACTGGGACTATTCTGTATCACTCACTCCCACTGCGTGTCCTCATTAGTCGTACAGCCTTTTTATTTTGGGGGGCGGTCGCTTCTCTTTTGATCCAGTTATGCAACACAGCAGGCATGTACTTGTAATGTGAGAGTGTGTTATGTTCTCGGGGATAGTCGAGCCAGTGCAGGCAGACACAGACACACACTCACCCCCCCCCCCCCCAATAATATACTGCAGGAGGAATATGTAGACCCTGGCTTAACTATTTCTGTAAAGCAGACTGGTGTGAGTTTGCTGAGGGACCATCGAGTTTTAACATTTCCTCCACGGATCTCCTCCCATTTCCTACATGCAAAGATTTTTGTGTAATTGCACTGCTTGACAGTGAGGCAAGGCAGTGTTCGGATATACAGCCCTCACTTCCATTCCTTCAAGCTGAATGAGAGTTAAAGACTTGGTGATGCTCCAGTAAGCCACTGAGAGTCAGGGCGGCCTCCTGCTGCAGCCTGTGAGCTCTGTCAGGGCTTCTTGTCGTCTTCAGCGCTGGCCTTCCATCAGAGATCTTTAGACGCCTGGGCCCCGGCCCCTGAGAATACTCTGCAGGCAGTTTGCCCTGCATAAACCAGCATTCACCCTCCGCTCCCTCCCCCTGACTGACTGTCCCTTGTACATCTCACTGGGGGGTTCCTCCTGCTCCGAACTCAAACGAACGACATGTCACACACCGCTTTAGGATGCCAGCAGAATTACTGGCGACAGATCTCAGGTCACCAGTGGAGATGCAGGAAGTCAATCATTTGCCAGCGCTCGGCTCGGGTGTTTTGAGGAGTTAAGCATTGTACACAGACAGATAAGTGTCCTTCACTGCATTACAAAGGGGGCGCAGAGCTGAAAGCATGATTTGGTACAGAAAACAAAAGGTTCACTTCAGCGAACCACATCGTTTTTTAGGATGCTGCCTGATTGGTCTGGCATGCAAGACAACATGGACTCACAAGAATGAAGCATTATAATCCGTATTCTGTAGCAGAAGGAAAATGCATACCGCCATTCTGTCAATTTTGATCTAAACCTCTAAACCTGTATCTTAGCTTAACTTTAGCCCAGTGACAAGTCACTGATCCTGTTCGACCTCAATTTCAAATGACCTGGGAGTTATTGGACATTTAAGGCTTGTGTTGTATTGAAAGGGAGCGGAATATAGAGTGAGCGCATGCTACAACTTATGCCCCTTCACATTCCTGTCATAGTCCGACCTGAGAGCTCAGCCTAGATCTAAAGCTCACAATATCCTTCCCAGTGTTGTTACAGCACTACTGCAGCATGCTCAAGTACAGATGTGAAGAATTACAAAAGCACTGAGGAAGAAGTGCAGCTGCCACAGTAGCCGTAAGGCACAACCGATCTGCAATTTACTATCACAAAGAAAGAGTGGTGTCCTTTTGTGAAATAAACTCTGTTTAAGTTACTCACTAGCCAACACATACATTCTGCTTTAGTCAGCATTAAAATGGACTTGTATTCAACGAGTCCAAAGTCTAGTGACATGTAAATGGTTAGAGTTGAGTTCACAGGTGAAGTCACCGTTTAAAACCGCCACCACCAAGTTAAACACCTGTGTGAACACACCCGTGTCCACACCTAAATGTTTGTTACATAAAAACAGTAAAATAACTGTTTAATTAATACATCCTGCTGCATATAACTGACAACATAAAGCTACTTAAACTGGCCTCAGGGAGGAAATCCAATTGTGAAATAGAGTAATAAAATCGTGGATTCCAGGTAATGTCAGGAGGTTCCCATAGAAGCTGTCGTATTGAGTACAGTAGGGTGAGGCTGTCGCATGAATCTCACGGTAACTCACTTTCATGTCACGGTTGATTAAAAAGACAACCATAACTCACTTATAACGTTACAGGAGTTGTTAACGTTAAAACTACAGGTTACAGCCAGAGAGAGAGCAACAAACTGTCGTTACCTCGGTACAGTAACAGTCGAAATGAACCTGTTACCTCATACGGCTCGTTCCTGCTTCGGTGTGTCAACGTTTCTTCCTCGTCCCCACCTCAATTAAATTAAACCGTGGCTATTATTTCGCCGGTTTCTTCAACCCAGTCATTCGGGAGTTCATGCGGCTTTATCTGTTGTAGTCGAGCCCATCCCCCATCCGCACAAGCTGGTAGACAGATAACAGTTGGGAAGTTAGTTTTCCTCCCGTTTTCCACCTTTCGTTTGAAGTCTTATTAAACGTTCGTCTGGCGTCGTAGCTCGCACGTTCGGCTTTAGTGTCCTCTTCCCATTGCTGTCCGGGTTCTGTGTGTCCGCGAACAGCGCGGCTCGGGAATTTGAACAGGAAGGACAACAGCGGCTCGTTTGCCGCCTTGGCTCAACGCTTCAGCCCGCTAACCTATGCTGCTAACACAAGCTAACCTATGCTAACACAAGCGCCGCCCCCGAACCTGAATAACACTTCAGCCCGCTAAACTAACACAAGCGCCGCCCCCGAACCTGAATAACACTTCAGCCCGCTAACCTAATACAAGCACCGCCCCCGAACCTGAATAACACTTCAGCCCGCTAACCTATGTTAACACAAGCGCCGCCCCTGAACCGGAATACTTCCTATAGGGAGCCGTGCTGGAGCGATGCCCTCATTTGCTTCCAACACCAAAACCAGGTGTATCTGATGTTTCATTGCAACATTTAAGTGGTATTCCTGTGATTTAGTGCCGCCTTTTCTTAAAGGTTTTTTTTTCTTCCTTTTTTTCAAATGGCTTGATTAAAAGCAGCAGAGGCAGATATATACTAACATGTATTGCCTGGCATGAGCCAATAAACTAAGCACTGGATACTACGTTTCCCACAATGCAATTTGACGGTGCCCATGTCTTGCTTTTAAAGGAATACCGGTAGTTACACATTTTGGGAGATGCGCTTATTTACTCAATGTCAATCAATTGTTACCAGTCTAGCTACATCCAGCAGCCGCTTAGCTTAGCTTAGCACAATGACTGGAAACAAGTGGAAACAGCTAGCCTGGCTCTGTCCACAGACTAAAACAATCTTCCTACTAGCGCCTTTAAATTTAATGCATGCTATCTTGTTTGTTTAATCCGTACAAAATCTGAAGTGTATAAACAGAAATGTCTGGTTTTAAAGGGTGTTATGTGCCAGACTATTATCTGGAATCTGTGAGGTTGCATGGAGCTGCATTGCCTTAAATATGTAGTTGGTTTTGGTATTTTGATTAATTGGTAATTTTGTGGCCATATCTTAAAATGGATCTGTATTATTGAATCTGTATTGTTCATTTTCAAATAAAATTGTGTTTAATCAAATGGCCACAAACTAAAATAAATTAAGTATTATTGAAGCAAAAAAGTACAGGTTGGAACTTGGAGGCCACGTTGCATATATGGCAATAGATGGGGGTCAGTTGGGGCCAAATAGCAAAACAATCTGTACCCAACAGGCTAATCTGGCTCAAGAATACTTTTGGTTGTTTGATGACAACCCTTTTCCAATACCCCCCATCAAAACTGCTTTCAAGACCCATTTTGGCACAATGCCATGTAGTGATATGAGACAGTATGGCCTCACCTTCAGGCCTGTACTGAGCTATGATGGTGACAGTCTGTCCAGCTCTCTTCAGCGCTGCAGCCGCCTGCTCATGTGTGGCATTCCTCAGGTTCACTCCATTCACCTGCATGAAACCAGGCAGACGAAAAAACCTTTAAGCAAGAAAACCCCTTGTAGATCCTAAAGGTGTGGCGTTTGTCTAATTATGTAGTTCTGAAGAAGAAACAAGTCTAGCTGGATGGAGCAGAGCTTATCCTCAAGCTGGATGGTTTGATTCCAGCCTGTGGAGATAAGATCTGCCCTCAATACATATGACCAGATTATAGGTTTGTTTGAAAATGATATGACTTAAGACCACTCATTTTGAATAACCCTCACAATCACACACAATCAATGTTGCAGTTAAAACATTTATTCACGCTTAGAACAACTTGAATGACTTGTTTTCATAGAACGTGTCGCAGTATTAAAATAAAACACATATTTAGAGCAACACTGGGTTTGCTGAAAAGGTTAAGAGTTATGAAATACAAGTCAAGGGATATAAATATGTGGGTTCCCTCCGGGTTCTCCGGCTTCCTCCCACAGTCCAAAGACATGCAGCTCAGGTTATTTGGAGACTCGAAATTGCCCGTAGGTGTGAATGTGAGCGTGTCTGTGTCTGTCTCTATATGTGCCCTGCGATGAACTGGCGACCTGTCCAGGGTGTACCCTGCCTTCGCCCAATGTCAGCTGGGATCGGCTCCAGCGCCCCGCGACCCTGAACAGGATAAGCAGTTTGGATAATGAATGAATGAATGAATGAAGTCAAGGGATATAAATATGTAATTCAATGAATACTTTATTGATTGACAGAATGCTCTTGTCTGGCGGAGCACAGCTCAGCTCCCTCTGAGTTGTTATGGATTTAATGTTATGCTCAAGGACATTCCAGCAGGGCAAATGTTTGCTGGCGTTCTAAACACTAGGCTACCTTAATTCTATCGTCCATATTCTGACATTCTGAGTTAGTAAAACGTGTTACAGTCGTTGATTTGGGCAAACAGAAAGCTTGAGGTTGCGATACTGACCGAGAGAATCCGGTCGCCCCTCCTCAGCTCGCCGCTCAGGTCAGCCGGCCCTCCTGCCAGGATGAAGGAGACGAAGATGCCTTCTCCATCCTCCCCGCCAACGATGTTGAAGCCCAGGCCTGTGGAGCCCTTGTGCAGCAACACCTTCCTCGGCTCCCTGCCAAACAGAGTGACAGCGTCAGGGTGAAGGGCAGGACAGAGAGCAGAGAAGAGATGGGCAGAGAGAGAGAGAGAGAGAGAGAGAGAGAGAGAGATATGACCAGAACGAAAATAGGAACAGCACCAAGAGAGTCGTGTACAGAGGCAACAGCCATCTTCTGTTGTGTATGATCCCAAAATGTCGAGTGCTGCAAGCTGTAGCACTGCAGATCTTTTTGTAGATACACTCTGCATATATTTAAAAGTGAGTGCTTTAAATAGAACATTTAAATGATGAATCTACAGGACCACTCACCAGTAGAACACAATGATTAACCATGTCGTAATCATGTAGTAATCACAATGCTAACATAGATAATGTGGATGACATTGACAACACGGCAAAGAGTTTTGCAATAGATACAATGAATGCAATAAAAACAAGCAGCAACACGATTGGATCCAAATGCATATCATCTGCTGGCTATAGAACTTTCTGCTTTGCATGGCAATCTCATGGAAATGTGCACACATGTACACATTTAAACACCCACTCGCATTAATGTGCGCAGACACAATGAGCCACCTCCTGCTCGACAGACCCACTCTGCTTTAGCTTTAGCCACTATGACTCATCCTACAGCGGGCTATTCAGACTGCTTCAGTTTTAAGATGCGAGAGAGGCCAAACCGCTGCATTGGTCCAGCAAAAGCCCTCTGAGCGCGCACTTCACACGAGCGCAAACACACACACCCTCTAGGAAGCCCAGCGTTGGCCTTACACAAACACGCACACCAACACATGCACACTTTATTTACAAATGCACACATAAACCTACATGCGCTCACGTACGTAGCCATGCACACACACACACAGACACACACACAGTTTCCACTCTTTAACAGAAAACACTGCATGGTTCCCATTAGTGGTCTTCTCTTCCAGTACTCAGCCTGCAGTGTACAGGAACAATTCCGACTTAATCCCTAGTGGCTGCGCTCTAACTTGCTGTTGAGATCATTTTCCCATTGATGGCAGCCGAGGCAGCATTCCAGACTTTCAGAATCATCACCCATGACTGACTGAAAAAACTAAAAAGCGTTGATTACTCCACTAAAAGAAATTAAAAGCATCGGAAAGTCCTAAATAGTAAATCGGTGCCTTCAGAAAGACTTCAGGAAGTGACTGTTAAAGTGTATTCATTTGAAATGAACTGAATTTAGATGCAGATGATATCTTGTAAGACCACTAGATGAGATCAAAAGCAACATAGTGAGTCTGGGTCTGCAGGATTCCTAACAAGTAGTGTTTCTACAAGGCAGAATCAGGGACAGATTTAATCTGATCGTACTGACAAAGCTTAAAACATTCTTGCTTTTCTTCTAAAGCCTTTTAGATCTTTTTTGTATAAGAGATGAAAAGCTAAAATAAAAAAAAGACAGGTGGCAAATGCCGTGAAATATGCTAAAACTACAAGTCAAGCTTAAAATAACCTCGCTTTCCATCCTGAGCTTTTCATTCCATCTCGAACGAGGCACACAGATCTCCATGGTTACCTTAGGATCCGGAAATGGTGCTTGCTTCGGAGAGAGCATTTCCTAACAGTGCGCTCAGGCCGGCTCCTCACCAGCGACATGGAAGATGAGATGTTGACTGTGAACATTGTGGCTATGGCACATCGACCCTTCTCTTCCTGTCTGGCCCGCCACTGAGAGAGGGGCCACAATTTTAGTGTTCACCTATCTTATCCATGTGTGCTGTGATTGGAAGCAGCTCCTCTATGGGCTGTCACAAACACTCTCTCCTCATAATCATCACCAGAAAGGCAAGACTGAACATTTAACCCTAACGCTCCCATGCAAATCACCTCCGTTCAATTCTAAAGAGAAGAGGGACAAAATCACCCCTCACTCATGTCTGGAATAACCAGGACTAGATTACATCAAGAGCATCAGGACTTGGCGGATGTGTCGAACTGGTTATCCAAGGCCCCCCCCCCCTCTCTAATACAGCACACCAGCATTCCTGTCTGTCAGCCCTGGTCCCCTGGAGAATGGGCAGACAGATTCCCAGAAGCTCCTTGCTAATTTGTCCAGAGTGAAAACAAACTGAGGAGCTCATGAACTGACTATCGGGCCATGTTCTGTGACCTGGCTGCACGCCGTGCATACAGTCGGTGCAGTATGCAAGTGTGTGCTTCTGCATGCTCTGTTTGTTCA